GAGTTTCTCCCCGCCGCAGCCAACTGCCAGGACGCCTTCAGCCTCTCTCCTTTTCGTCAATTATCCTGAATTGGTTCGCTGGCGGCGCGTCAGTCAACATCGTCAAAAAGGCCCTTTGCCGCCATGTGAAATTGCGAAAACAAGCCCCAGCCCACAGCGGGCGTGGGCAAACACCGTAGCGCGCCGTGCTCCCCCCACAACCGCCCGCAGGTCTGGGCCAATGAGTGGGTGCCGGTCCATCACACCACGTCGTGCGGACTGACTCCTCGTTGCGGCGTCCCACCGGCATCCGCCGCGCGCCATGCGGTGGCGGGTGAACCTGCGCGCCAAACATCCGAGACCGACAACTGGTATCCCCGCGGGGCCTTCACCGCGGGGCGAAGCGCGCCTTCTCGGCGGCCGCGCCCTTTGCCCCCACCAAAACGGCGGCAGAGGGAATTCAACGAGCCGGCGCGCCCCAACCGTCTCTCACGCACCGCGCGCTGTCCCCTGCCAAGGCCTGCCCATGCAGCGCGTACAGGGAGTCGTGTTTTGTACTTTTCTGTGGATTCTTGTGCAACATCGAAGATTCGTTTCGATGGAGAGGCGGGCGGTGGCGAGGTTTGTTTTTCCGGATGTGGTGTGTTTGTGAGTGTGCAAAAAATGTGTTGTCACAAAAAGATGGTGTATAACGACTGAGTTTCTATGATGTTGGTCCATAATGAGGAGGTGAAGCATTTTCGTTGCGAATGAGCCCCGCTGAAACAGTGGATTATTCTTTTACAAGGTGGGGGGTGGGATGTGCGGGGGCGCAACGTCCTCTAAAAGTGTGAAGTTTTATGAGAGGGTGGAGGCAAGGTTGTAGATTCGTTTTGGGTGTTTTATGTTGAAAAAAAAATAAAAAGTGAACGATCTCTGATGTAATCTGCATTTCTGTTGATAATAGTTTTTTGTTATATGGAGTGTATGGCTTTGATACTTTGATGGTGATCTTTTTTTATTTTATACCGCATTTTTTTCATTGTTGTTTTGGTACTTTTGATGAGTGGCGTTGATATGTGTGCGTACTCCTCTGTGCCTTTTACTTGGCAGTGTTTTTTTTTCGCATTATGGGTTTTTGTTTTAACTATTTTGCACAATAAATTTGTTTGTGTTACATTTTTTTTATCAAGTAAGGTGGAGATTATTGCATGACCATTGTTTTTTTTTAATCTTGGGTTGACTCATTATCTTATGGTATTGATTTTTTTTGTATTGTTTTTGGGGATTTGGTAACTTTTGTTGGTTTATTTTATTTGCTTTGATGCTACTGTTTCTGCCCTCCTGGCGGTGTTGTTTCCTGCATTGTAGCGTCAGGTTTTCTTCTTATTTTCTTTTTTGTTACGGAGAAACCAACAGTTGGTTATTGGCTAGTGGCTGCAGCATGTTTCGAAGTCAGCGTCATGAAGTTGCAATGGAACAACAGGAAACGGTAGTGTCGGTCCTGATGGTTGTTGTTGGCCTTGATTAGTAAAAATCCTGCAGGTGCGTTATAAACAGCCGGGTCACTGATGGGGGCCAGACCTTTAGATAGAACGCCTTAGCCTTTTTGTCTGTGTTCCACATGTTTTATTACCAGTTTGACATTTTTTTTCTGAGTGACAACAAGGGTTTTTAGTGGGTAGAGGTGGCATCTCCACCAGTGACTCTTATATAACTGCATGTACAGAGGTGGGGCAGCCGAAAGTGCTTTTTGTTTCTTTTATCTGGGCGATGCGCAACGGTGGTTAAAAAGTTTTTTTCTTAAACAAAATTACCCAGGTGTAAAGCACATATTCTCTCTTGTTTCTCTCCTTTTCACAAAGTGTCTACCATTTACAACAGTAAATGAATTCTAGCGTTGCTTGCATAACGGGGGCAAACCGAGGCATTGGGTTTGAGATTGCCAAAAAACTTGCTATGCAAGGGTTTACAATAATTATGGCTTGTCGAAATGAAACTTTTGCTAAGGCAGCGGAGCTCGAGTTAAAGGAAGCGGTGGAAGGAGTGCAGATTGTGCATGTTTGTATTGACCTTGCTGCCACTGAGACAGCCAAAAGTGCCGCATTAAAGGTGGGTGAAATGTTTCCAGGTGGGATTGACCTTATGATTAACAATGCCGGTTTTGCGTATCATTGGGATGCCCAGGAGTCGTTCTATCAGCAAGCTATGGATACAATCCGAATAAACTATTATGGAACTGTTGCTGTATGTGAGGCAATTCTTCCTCACATAAAGAGTGGGGGAAGAATGATTACTGTATCGTCCATGTCAGGAAGCTTGCTTAATCTTTCAACTGAGAAACTGATTTCCAGATGGAAGGAGTGTGGTTCAAAAAAAGACATTGATAGTTTATTGCAAGAATTTATTGATCTTACCAAGGGAGATGGAAAGCATCTGGTCGCTGGATGGCCTAATTCAGCATACGGCGTAAGCAAACTTGCCGTGACAACATATACGCGTATACTTGGCCGTTCAGCGTCTGGTATACATATTTTTTCGTGTTGTCCTGGTAGTTGTCGAACAAAAATGTCAACATTTACAGGTCTGAAAACAGCTGAGGAAGGAGCTGACACACCAGTTTGGCTTGCTGTTTCACAAGAGGCACTGCAAACGGTTCCACAGGGTGGTTTTGCGACAGAACGTCAATACAAACGTGAGGAAGATGCGCGGAATTGATTTTCATACCTTTCTCTCTATATATTTCTTTTTTCTGTACTATGCAATCTTACATGCTTTTAGGTCTTTGTTTATATATTTGGTATTGTATGAAATATCCGTTGGTTTTCATCTTTCTGATTTTGTGCAAAGTATATATATATATATATATACTTTTTTGAAACTAATCACTTCAAATGATGATGGCGCATTCAAAGGCAACAGGTCCAACTCTTTGTTGGCGTTGCGGAGCGGCATTTAGCAATCGGACCGTTCAAACTGGGATTTGTTGCATTTTATGCAATCGGACTTTTCACCGGAAGTGCTATTTGGCCGAAACTGGGATTAATAAGGATGAAACAAGGGCTTGTGTTTGCTGTCTCAGTGGAATTTTAAGGATGCCCCAGTCTTCATGTGTTCAGCAAAATCCAGTGGCCACAAAGTTTCTTCGCGATGGCTATTGCGTGATTTCACTGGCTACCTGCGCTAGAAGAAAAAAATATGTTTTAGAAACTCTGGAGAAATATCGGGCCAATGCGGATCGCTACTTTAAATCCTTTATGCGTGCTTATGAGGCACAATTAGAGTTTTCTACCAAGGCGCCTACTCTTGAAAGTGGCTTCTCCAATTTTAGAGAGAGGGGCAGTGGGAGATATGAAATGATTTCAAGTGAAATTGAAAAGGAGGTAATCAGTGTATTGGGAAATTGTGATGGTATTTTGAATACTCTGGAGCTGCTTCTGACCTCAGCAAGCAGTAGGGTACGGGTGAAGAAGAGATTGATGTCAACTGGATGTTTTTATTCTCTTCCTGGGAGTTCGAAGCAGCAGATTCACACAGATGGGCCTCCTTTGAGCTCAGTGCTGGATTTGTTTCCTTACGCCATAAATGTTTTCATTCCACTTGTTTCCGTAGACAAAAGAAATGGGACAGAGTTTTTCCCTGGCTCACATCGCATAGAGTGGAGTTCTAGGTCTTTGCTCAGAAAAAAATCGATTGCTCCAGTTGTTCCTTTTGGGGAGGCATTGCTGTTTGATTACAGAGTATTACATCGTGGTTTGGCCAACCGACTAGGCTCAACTCGTTCATGCTATTATGCAACATTTGTTCGTTCCTGGTACGAAGATAAGTTTAACTTTAGTTCTGGTAGATACAAAACTGCTTTAAGTGTACCTTCATACTTGTTGACGCGTAGGGGCGACGAACACGCTCAAAAGCGGCAAAGAACGGAGTAATGAGATTTCATTTCGAGTTTTGTTAGAGATGGATGGTGCCTTTTGTTTTTTCTTGCTTGTGTGTGTTTGTGTTTTTTGTTTTTGTTGTTATTCCCTGATTTTTTTTATTATTTAAAATCTTTTTTCCGTTTGTATACTAGCAAGAAGAAAAAAAGTAAAACAAAAAAAAAGAGACATCTGCGCTCACGAGAGCAAAGGCAAACCGAACAAAAACTATTGATTACAGCAATGGGGCTCCTCACCTTGTTGAGGAAATTGAAGCGTAACGACACGGAGCCACGGATTCTTATTCTTGGTTTGGACAATGCTGGAAAGACGTCTATTCTTCGCAGACTATCGGATGAGGATCCAACCACTACCCAGACAACGCAAGGCTTTAATATCAAATCAATAAATTGCGAGGGCTTTAAGCTCAATATGTGGGATATTGGTGGCCAAAAAGCGATCCGTGTGTACTGGCCTAACTATTTTGATGAGGTGGATTGCCTAATATACGTTGTTGACTCTGCTGACAGGCGCCGTTTGGATGAGACTGCCGCGGAGCTTGAAAATCTTCTTCAAGAAGAAAAGCTACGAGAGGTTCCCTTCCTTGTATTCGCCAACAAGTGTGATCTCGCAACTGCGCTCTCTCCCGAGGATGTCAGCACAGCCTTGAGCCTTCAGAGCCTGCGCGATCGTACATGGTCTATTCAGAAATGCAGTGCCAAAACTGCGGAAGGTCTTCATGAGGGCCTGGTATGGGCAGTGAAGAATCTTAAAAGGTAGTTTTACAGGAGGTATCTAGACTTCATTTTCGCAAGGTAGAGAACTCGCCAAGAAATGATATATATATATATATATATATATATTCATTGTTATTGCGGTGACGATATTCTTTGTCTCTTTTCTCACTGCCCATATGGAATTGCTTGAGGTGAAGGATAAGCAGATTTAATTTATTACATTTTCTTCTTTTTTGTCTCTTTTGGAAGTATAAATATATCAAAAAAGAATTCTTGTTTTATTGCTCAGTATTTTATTACGATGTTTTACGCTGGTGCCATTTTTCGTGCCGCACTGGCGTCTCATCGGCCCGTTTTGGAGTCATCTGTTTCTGCCAGCGCTGCTGTGAGACGCCTCTTGGGTGGTAAAGGAGATCGTGTCCCCAATGTTCATGCAATTGATTCAGTTATAACCAAGACTAAGGGTCAGGGTTTACCTGGACTGGCGTGTGTGGTGGGGAGGGCTGCATTTTACGTCAGCTGCAGGAACCCAGAGGCTGCGATTACCGAGATTGACAAAGTTTTTCCTGAAATTCAGAATGCTGAATTGAAGCGTCTTGCACTTGGAATTCGTCTCCAGGCAAGGACTGACCTTTTGGACGTCAAAGAAGCAGCTTTGAAGGTGGATGGGGGGTCGACAGAGTTGGACGTATCTACGCTTCGCGGCGCTGTCCGTGAGGACTATGAAGCTTTAAAATCGGCTTCCTCTGGATGTTGGCTGGTGGAAATGGCGGCAGCTGAATATGCGCTTTATGAAGGAAACGCAGAGAAGGCGTATAAGGCTTTGCGTGACGTGGAAGAGAAGATAGGGAGTTACATTGCCTCACTTGGAGGGGTCCAAATTTCTCTTGAGGCAGCTTCTGTGGAGAACACACAATTACCTTCATTGTTGGCTTTTTTGTTAAAGCGTGCCCAGGATGCTGAAGGGGTGAATCCATCAGCTTCAAAAATTGTAGAAGAAGGCATCAAAAGCATTTTGAAAGATGATTCGGTTAAAGAGTCTCTGTCAGTATTTAAAAAAGAACTCGGTGTAGCTCTTACAGATGGGGAAGCCGCTGAAGTTGCCCACGTTCTTGATGCAGCACATGTCCATCATCATTTTCACGACTATTTTCCATTGGAGGGAGAATATAATGATTGGCATTCTGTAGGTGCGGAAGACACCAAGAAAAGGATTGCCCAGACGATTGCACCGCAGCCTGTCATTCTTTCCAATAAAATACTTGAGAATGTGAAAAACTCAGTGCCATATAGGCCTTTTTATGCCCCTGAAGATCAGCTTCGAAAGTTTCTTTCTTCCTCCGATCGGGAAAATTATCTTGCTGAACTCAGGGCAACATTTGGTTCCAGCCCAGAGAGCGCGCTTTCAAACAACGATGAGGCTTATTTTGAGGCCTTGAAAGCTTTGAAGCAGGCTCCACTTTCTGCGGATACAGCTGGTGATCCTTCTTACCCGCAGAAACTAAATGAGCTCTGCGGCAAATTGGCCCGTCAGCTGCTGTATCGAACAAAGGTTAATGAAGCTGTTGCGTTGACTGAGCTTGACCGTCTCAGTGAAGCAGTAGAAGTTTTGGATGAAGTGATTGCCGCAAACGAATTTATTTACATGTGGCGTGCGTTTCTTGCGAGAGGGGAGGCAAACAAGAGATTGGGACTTATCAGTAAATCTGATAAGGATTTTCGTCAGTTGTCGCAGCAGAAGAAACGTTTTCGCCTGAAGGTATAGCTAGTTATACATATGACTTCAGTTGACGAAGAGAAAGAACAAGGGAATATTAAGGTGGGAATATTACGAAAGATATTTGCTTTACTGGAAATGCGAAGGGCGGCATGTTTTTTTCTTTTAAATCGTGAAAGAAGACAGGACAAAATCAAAAAAAAAAAAAACTTAGCCTTCTTACCATTATGTAGTTGCATTTGCGTGATAGGTGTGTAGTCGTTTCTTTTTCTAGGGGGCATCGTAGGCTTTATTGTGGCAAAGATTTCGTGATCGTCCACATTTCTCCTTCTTTAGAAGAATCCTGGGCAGAAATCAAAGTTAGAGAAATAAGAAAAGGAAAAAAAATTTTTTTGTGGAATAAAATCACAGCTTATAACCTTTTGTCACAGTAAAATAAAATACAAAAAGCTGTTATTGTTTTTGTTTTTCTGCGGTGGCTGCGTCACCCTGCCTGGCTGCCTTTTTTTTTTTGGTTTTTGATCTAATTTCAATCAGGTTGGTTTGATTGTCTATAGGAAGCCCTTCTACCGTAGTTTAGAGATCGTTCTCTTGTCATGTGAGAAAATTCTTTTTGTTTGCCCGTTGTTCTTGATTTACCGTGGGACGCAAGGCGTGCAAAATGCTAAAATGCGGAAAAAAAAGCCTCACATCATCACAATCTTGTTATGCATGAGGACGCTGTTACTTCTGTTGCGCATTGCCTCGATCTTCTGGCTGCTTAATGGGCAACACCCTTTGTTGGTGGAGTGGCTTTTGGATCTGCCGGCCGTTATCGTATCATTGCCTTGACGAAAATACTTGGATGATGTATTTTTGATATGTACCATATATATATATATATATATATATAGTGGATTTCTAGCTCTCAGCATTTGTTTTCTAATTTTTTTTGTTCATTTGCAATAAAAATCTCAATAATAATAATATGAAGTAGGTAACTGCACAGGGCCATGCTTAATAGTTTACTGCAACTCATTGGCCTTAAAAAGGAGTGGCCGGTATTTACTCTGGATGAAGTGCGCCAACACAACGACCGCCTTTCAACTTGGATTGTCGCGGGAAACTTCGTGTATGATGTCACCTCTATCCTGGACACGCACCCTGGGGGCGCAAATGCGCTCCTCCGTCGAAGTGGTGGTGTGAAGGACTGCACTGAGGACTTTTACTTTCATAGTCGCGCTGCGCGGAGGACATGGGACCACTATAAGATTGGTGAGTTGGACGCTAGGGAATTCATGGGGATGACAGGTTACCCTACCTCTCTGACAGAATCAAGAGACGAGGGTGTTACGCCGGAGGCCTCTCCTGTGAGCCACGCCTGTGCCAGTTGGGAATGCGATGGTGGCAAGAATTGCTGCTGCACTAGTACTGTGGAAACATGCGGGAGTACATCTGAGCCTGTTCCAGATCATGTATGTGGTGAGTGCCTGCACCGTTCCTTGGCACGGCGAGAGGTTCTTCCGAGAGCCCTGTAGAATCTGTATTTATTATTAATTTCTTTTTTTTTCACTGAAAACTGGTCATCTACGATTCTGGTAATGTTTCCCTCCATGTGTGTATCTGTCTAAGCAACCAAAATAAAAAAAAGAAAGGGGTAAAAAACATCAAAAAAAAACAAATAAAATAAAAGAAACTTCAGGCAAGATCTCGCTAAGTTTTCCCCAGTATATCTAACCCAGTACTCTGTTTCGCTTTTGACGGCGGATCTGAAAAGAGCGTCTTCCTGGGTTTTAATATTGAGTCGAATCAATTCCTCCATTTGTTTTCAAAGTTCCCTTTGGGCTTAAAACGCCTGCAGGTGACCCGCGACAAGGAGAGACCAAATGGATGATGGTGCGTTTTGTGCCAACTTCCTTGTTCCTTTGTCGCTTACTTGATTTCTCCCTCCCCTGGTGAAGCCGCGGACCGCCTTGCCGTGGTGCAAGGGGTTCGTACCTCGCAGTAAATGGAGCCTCGTGCCAGTAATAGGCTCTTTTTGTCTTGTTTTTGTTGATCTACAGAGGGCGACAGTTGGGTTTTGGGGGGGGGGGCAAGACAAATAAAGTGGGCTTCCCACCCAACAGCTGCCGATGCAGGCATGTGGCGCCATAACAGTGCTGGCAACGATGTGTGGCGGTCATACTCTCCATGTGTAGAAATGTTTGGTTTTAACACCACTTGTTTAAAGGAAGAACGGTTACGTTTGAAGGGACGAAAAAAAATTAGTTTTTCCTTTTTTTTTCTATCAAACGGTACCATGCTGGTGGGATGCATCTGCAGTTACTTAGTTTGTTTCTATGTGTGTAATCCCACTCTAACTCCATGCTAGCCGTCACTCGGAGGGTGTATGTATGTGTATGCGGCGGTTGCGAGCCCCAAAAACTTTCATCACGTTAATTCAAAAGGAGCCCAACCATCGTGTGCTGTTTCTTGAAGGTATTTGTTTACTTGTGTGTGAGTGTGTGTCTGTGTGATAAGCTCCCATCCTAATAGGGGGATCTTGGGCGCAATGAAGCAGGCTACGCTTTCTCTTTATGCCACCTCCAATTTTTAGGCACATGGGACAAGGCCTCTGCCAGGCGCATATTTTAAATGTGATATGCTATACAATCCCATCTGTGCACTTTGTCTTTTCCTTTCCTTCTCTCTCCCTCGTATATATATATATATATATATATATTTCTCCAGTCGAACGTGGAAAAGACGTTCTCGTTGCCCTTGACTGTGGGGGCAATAAAAGACTCCAAGACCTTGACAACATCTGCTCTTTTTCTTTTATCAAGTTACTTTGCTTGCACTATATAGACATCACTTAAACTGTAACGGGTGATGCTCCTAGACGTATCTTATATATTCCTTTATTTAAGAGTAACCGTTTTACCGCTGCAAATTATAGCACTATCTTTCGTCTGTTGGACGTAAATTTCTGGGTCCTTGCCTTTAACTGCATAAGACCATTTTTGTACGTCTGGAGAAGAGCTTCCGTTCCTTAAACCACTACAGAAGGGACCTTAGCCCATGCAGCTGCTGGGCAGGAGACATGCTTTTGGCTTGGGCGTCCTGAACATGCTAGCGTTCTGTTGTTTCGCCTGCCGTCACCCTTGTGCGTGCATGAAGTCGAGAGGACCCAGTAACAACACTTGCATCCCCTCTTTCCTTTCGAGCAGGCGAGCTCTGGCGGAAGTTTCAGGTAATCATCTTCGCCAGGCCTCGGATTAATACATGTTCTGCGGAAGGTGAGGAAAACACACACTTGATAGTGTGCAAAGGCACGTGGCTGTGTTTTCTACTTCATTGCTTTTCGATGTATTTTTCAGTCTATTTTCTTGTCCGTGCTGCAATTCAGAGCGGACGACAGTTTTGAATCATTTGAACCCCATTTCTCTTTTGTCAGCTTGACGCTGATAAATGCTCAGTATGCGTCTTGCGTGCTTGTTGAATGGCGTCAACAGCAGCGAATTTCCAGTCTGTAGGGGAGTGCCGTCGTTGTCGTACCTTAAGTACGGGTAAAAACGAGAATGGCAGGCGGAGCTATACGTTTTTGTTTTTGTTTTCTTTCTCCATGGTTGACATTAACGCAGGAAGTGGCGAAACGTTTACGTGTGCCACGTTTTTTCACATTTTATGCACAGTGCACCTTTTACGCTTTCTCGTTACATATTTCATTTGATTCTTCTTTTTCTCCCAGTGGGTCTATTGTTTTTCGCCTTTCCAGTGGAGCTGAAGCGGAGCTTTTGACGTGTTTCTTGCTTTGCTGCCCTCATAGATTTTCATATCCATCGACGTTGCTGTTATATATATATATATATATATATTGCAATGCCCGTGTTTTGCGGAACGGCCTTTCACGTACCGGAGCGGCAGAGGTTGGAGGTCCTGCAGGAGGTCTTGATCGTCGTACGTGACGCCGATGGAGTGATTGAACGCGTGCTGTGGCCGGCGGACCCCGACTATGGCAGGGCGAAGGAAGAGGCCAAGGTGGATGGCAAGCTGCGGACGCTGCGTCCACACCAGTACTTAATTCCTGGGCTTATAGACCTGCACGTGCATGCGCCGCAGTGGCCGCAAACGGGAAAAGCGCTTCACCTGCCGCTTCAGGACTGGCTACAGGAGAGAACGTTTCCGCTGGAGGCCGCCTACAAGGATGTGGGGTTCGCGGAGAAGATATATACGTCCCTGGTGGAAACGCTGCTGGCAAATGGCACTACCACCGCCATGTATTTTGCTACTATTCATCTAGAGTCCAGCGTGGAACTTGCCAAGATTTGTTTGAGGAAGGGGCAGCGGGCAGTGATTGGACGTGTGGCAATGGATATCCCCGAGGTCTGCCCAGATTTTTACCGCGATGCGGGTGCCGTGGATTCCATAGCTAAGAGCGCAGCCTTTGTAGAATCTGTTCGGGCACTAAGAGGGAATGAGCGTGCCCTTGTCCTTCCTTCCATCTGCCCTCGATTTATTCCTACATGCAGTGTCGAATCACTTCACGGCCTCGGCAAACTCGTGGATAGGTATAAGTGCCACGTGCAGACACACTGTTCAGAGAGTGATTGGGAACACAACCACGTCATTGAGCGTTTGAAGAAGCACGACGCGGTCGCGTTGGATGAGTTTGGACTGTTAACAAGACGCACCGTGTTGGCACACTCAAACTACTTGTCAGGCGAGGACATGGATCTCCTCCTCAGCAGAGGGACTGCCGTGGCGCACTGTCCATTGTCAAACTTTTATTTTGCCAATGCCGTATTTCCCTTGAAGAAAGCACTGGACAAGAACCTTCACGTTGGTCTCGGCACCGACTTGGCGGGTGGACACAGTCCCTCAATCTTCGACAGTTGTCGTCAAGCCATTGTGGCCTCGCGCGTATTGGACGACGGTGTTGATCCCAGCAAGGATGCAACTGAAAGGAGCAGCTGGAAGGGGTCCCGAATAAACTTTATCGAGGCCTTTTGGCTTGCGACAACGGAGGGCGGTGTCTCGCTGGATTTGAAGATTGGCAAGTTTGAGCCTGGCTACGCGTTTGACGCCCTAGTGATCGACGCGGACGCGCGCAACAGTAATGTGAAGGTCTTTGACGGCGAAGACTCGTTGGAGGACATCTTTCAGAAGATTGTTTACAACGCCTCTTCCGCGAACGTCGCGCAGACGTGGGTTGACGGGAGACTCGTGCACCAGCTGGAGTTCTCATAGGCCCACATACTCCACGCCCTTCCTCCACGCGTGTTGTCCGTTTTTTTTTTCCTCTCTTATTCGCTATTATTACTATTAATTATTTATTTTTGTTTGTGGGTGCGGAGTGGCGGAGGACGGAGTGGTGAAAAACGGGTGAGGCGCACACGCACCCTTTAGACTCTTTCAAGCCGTTTTTTTTTGTTTTTCCATGTTGACGTTGATGTTTTTTGAGTTTCAGGCGGTAATGAAAACCGCCACTGGACGCACCAACAAAAAAGAGAATTTGGCGCCGTCCCCTTCTCTTGGTCTACCGCCCAAAAACCAACGACCTAACTTCTTTCTGCGCTTTCTACACATATTTTGGAGGAGCCACACACACACACACACACACAGGACGAGTCCGATGGGGGAGCCGAAGCAGACGCTCTACATACGTGGTCTGCCTGATAAAGTCTCGGCGGAAGAGATGCGCCGGGCGCTCTATTTGTATTGCACTCAATTCGGCCCTGTGCTGGAGGTGTCGTACCGCAAGAGTAGCGACGTATACGGCCAGGCGTTTGTGGTTTTCTCAGACGTTGCCACCGCCACTAGCGCTCGCCGGGAAATGAACGAACGTCAGTTTTACGGGCGAGTGGTTCAGGCCTTCTACGCCAAGCGGCAATCTTTTAGCGCGGACCCGGGAGAGCGGCGCCGCAGAGACCTTCGACGTGAGCGTGAGTTGGGTGTGAAACGTCTGCGGGAGGGCTGATAGCCTGTCTAACAGAACCGCCTTCTACGAGTGCGTCTGGCTGACGCTAGAAACCTCAAGATGAAGTTAAGCTTTTTTTTTTTTAACGTCCCTGACACTTTCTTCGCTTGCTATCCTTATTATTGTTATTGCTTTTTTTTTTTGTGACAAGGAACTGTGGGTAATGGGGCTTGGAATTGTGGGAGGGGAAGAGGACGATGATGACCACTTTGTCAGCAGCTTCTTAGATGACCTCTGCCGCCTCGTGTCGCGATACTTGACCCTGTCGCGTGGCACGCGTGCCGGCCTACTTCCAGCGCCTCCTTCCGCATCGTCACTGTTGTCGTCGTCTCGCATTTCGTTCGTCACCCCTGTGGCCGCTGCGACCCCGGTGGAGGAGCGGCAGGGAGTGGCGGACTCCATGCTTTGCCTGGTAGGTGAGGTGAGGTCGCGAATCAGCGCCGGGGAGGAAATAACAGATTTTTCCACAGAGGGCGCCATGTTTTTTCTGGGCCTACACTCACTGCTAGAGAGCCATCCCGAGGATGATTGGCCGTCACAGAGCACCCCGTCTCGTTCGACGACGACCGGTGGTGCAGTGGGTCAAAGCCCAGCAGGAGCCGGGTTACAGTACCTTAATCACGTTGCGAATGCTCCGCGCACACGCATCCTGCGACATATGCTCCGAATCCCTAATGCCGTGAATGGGGACATCGGCGGGGTGGGCGCTTCAAAGAGAAAGATGAACACTGCGGAGGCCTCGTGCCAGACGAGGCCGTTGGAGGAGTTGTCCAGGAGGCATCAGCATGCCTCGCTGTATCAGGCCGCAGCAGCTCCTCCTAGAGGGTGTGTGCCTGCACTTAGTGCTGCCCACGGTCGCTTGACGTTGTTGCTGCAGCATCACACCATGCTCAGTATCCTTACCCTGGGCGATGCCCTTTTCGAAGCGCATAATGACTTTATACCGCTGAAAGTGTGCGATCACCGCATTCAGACAAACTATGTAGGGGGAATTATAAGAGAACTTAAACGAGAGCAAGAAAGGCTTAACAGACAGTCTTTAAGCAAGAGTGGTATAAGTGAACTGGAACAACTTTATTCTTGTGAGATTGTGCAGGTGCTAGAGCGTCTTGAAACGGCAGTACCTTTTATGGACTGCATAATAGTTTTTGTCGAGGAAGTAGACGAGGGAAGTAAAGAGCGCGGTGAAAGTGATGGTCGAGTCCTTGTTGGAGCGGACGACGCGGAGGAGCTTGTGGGCCTCTTCGGAAGTAGTGGCGCAGGTTTTGTGTCGAGGCTTGTTGCTTACAGTATACAATGCTTTCTGTCTGCCCTAAGTAGTGCAACTGCCTCCCCACAGCGATGGAGTTATCTGGAGAAGGTGCTGTTCTTCACAGACACCGAGAGCCCGGTTCCAACCGTGCCAGTGGAGTTGAATGCGACGTTGTCGCGTGGCTCAACAGACATGGGTGTGGGGAAAACCCCCACACCGGAGCGCTCCGAGAGAGTGAGGGTGAATGACACGGATGAGATGCAGGGAATAAAAAGCACGACTTCCGCTTGGCACGAGAGTGAGCGGCAGCTCCAAGGGCTTGTGCGAAAGTTTTGTCCCTGTCGCGTGTATGAGGAAGTCCGCCACGCTGCAGTCCCATTGGATGTGAAGGGTGTGTGGTAGCCGAAGGACTTCAGGTTTCTTGCGGCCCGGACACATCGCGCCGGCATTGGCGCTGCACACCCAAGCGAGATTTCGAGTAGAGAGGCCCCCCCCCCCCTGGAAGATGAAGAGGCAGAAGAAAGCAAAAGAAAAAAAACAACAAAAAACATTCAGTGATTTGAGCGGAAGCGGCTGGTTGAAGCCGACCCCAGTGGTATTTTTGAGTTTAGATGCTTGTGGAGTGTTAGCTTTTTTTTTTTTTGCTTGTGGGTCCTTGTCGCGTTGCTGCGACACCTCGTCTTCCGCGTCATGTATGCCCCACAGTTATCTCTTTGTTTGATTCCTGCCCCACTTTGTTTTTCAACCCCTCATCTTTTATAATGCTTCCCGCTGCGCTTCCAGGTTGCCGCGCGTTGCTCTTGGCGTTTTACTCCCCTACTTTTTTCCCTGCTCACACGTCTTACTTCGCTCTTTTTCTGCGTCTTTTCTGTTGAAACGAATCCCTTTGAGCCACGGGCGCCAGGGCCAAGATCGTGAGAAGCGAGGGATAATACGAAGGTAACACGAGAAGCGCAAAGAGCACTCCACAACACCGCGCAACAGCAGCCATGTCCTCTGAGCTCAACTCAGGTCCTCTCCCGGCGGACGTCGAGGGGGTTATTGCAACCATCATGCGAGAGGAGGGTGTCAGCTTTCTTACGAGCAAGATTTTGCGTCTGCGCCTGGAGGCGAAATACCGGATTGAGTTTACCTCGCATAAGACTGCTGTGGAGAGCATCGTTACGAGGCTCATGCAGCTCCCCGAGTTCAAGAAGCAGCTAGAGAACGCGGTGAGGGAGGAGAGGGCAGCGAACAGCATTGGCGGAAAAGGGAGGAAACGCGGCGCCAGCGCTAAGGCGGACGAGAGGGATACGAAAAAGAGCAAGAAGGAGAAGAAGCCGGACGGCTACCCAAAGGCCGCGCTCTCACCGTACATTCTTTTCGGGAATGATCACCGTGACAAGATTAAGGCGGAGAACCCGGAGATGAAAAACACGGAGATCCTGCAAAGGTTGGGCAAACTGTGGGCAGAGGCCTCGGAGGCCCTTAAAGCAAAGTACAAGAAGCTCGCTGAGGACGACAAGGAACGCTTTAAACGGGAACTCGGCGAGTACCAAAAGAGCGGTGGCGAGGAGTACAAGCGCGGTGGCGGAAAGGCAAAGGCGAAGGATAAAAACGCGCCAAAGCGGTCTCTGTCCGCCTACTTTTTTTTTGCGAGCGATTTCCGAAAAAAGAATCCAGAGTTGAGCGTCACGGAGGCTTCCAAGGCGGCCGGCGCTGCATGGAAGGAGCTCTCCGATGAAATGAGAAAGCCATACGAGGCCATGGCAGATAAGGACAAGGAACGCTACCAGCGCGAGATGGCGGCAAGGGCCACGTAGGGCCGGGGTAATGCGGCCACTGTGAGCGGTGACTGGTGAGGGGTGAGGGGGGTGCGGCCAGAGGAGGGAGAGAAATATAGCAAAAACTAGAGCAATGGAAAGGGAACCCATCAACGGCTGTAGAGAGGAACTAATGAGGCGAAGGAGGGGCTCTTACTCCCTTGCCCTACTCTTCGCTCCTCGCTTCCGGGACCCATCCTTCCCCTAGTCGTGCGTTTCTTCTTACTGCCTGCCTTGCAGTTCACCGTGCTACTTTATAGACGTCCTTCCCCACTCGGCTTTGGAGGGAATCCGCCGAGTTTGACAGAACACTGAGCAGCACGACAACCTCAAACAACGCATAGGCGCATGCAGATCTGCGCCCAGCGGGAACTGACACGACCGGTGTGTGGGAAGTTGCAACAACGCGTGAGAAACGAAAAGGCGGCGCAGAAAAAAAAACGGAATTAACAAAACAGCTAAATCAAAAAAGAAAAAAAACAACAACACACACGGAAATAAAGCGAAAAGAAAAGAAAGCATATAGTTGAGAAACGGCCAAAGATGGTCGGTGTCGCCCTCCCTAAAAGACACACGCACAGAAAGAAAGAGAAGAAACAAGGAAAAAAATATATATGAAGGAATTGATTCCGAAGTCGTCATACATTTTCTATTGTTTCCATTTGCTTATTCTTGCCTTTCTCTCTCTCTCTCTCTCCTTTTTCCCCCGCGATGATGTCCAGGGGCTTTAAAAAAATCTTTTATGACGCAGCAGTGAGTAATTTTACGGCATTCGCCCTTCTCGCTCTTTGCTCTTTGCTCTTTTTTTTTTGCTCTGAGGCCACTGGTCGAGGCGACGTTGTTGTCGTTGACATTAGATACAAGGTATACATGCCAAGCTGTGAGCGTATTCCGCTGCATCAGTTTCACAGTGTGGAGTCGCGACGCCACACGGGTGATTGTGTGCGGGACCTCACACACAGTAAAGAGTTTCGACGCTACGTGAGCCATGTGGAGTACAGTGAGTCGTTGCAGGCAACGTGGTTTATTGCTCCGATTGGACTGACAATTGCGCTTTACTATCACCTGCTGCTCGTCCTCCGCGATACGCAGACGGCGCCGGTTGGGAGGCCTGAGGCCAATTTCATACCCTCCTTACCGGTCACGGCGATGCTACTCTTCTTTATTGCGCCGTGCGTTGTCATCGCTCCTTTTACTGGCTTCTTTGAGCCCCTTTCGCGTCGAGGGGCTTTGCGTCTAGTGGCGCTTTTGACGTTTATCAACCTTATTGTGGTTTCGTTTGGCGGTAGGTGGCTACACCACCCACCGTTCCTTCTCACTGCGCCTCCAATACCGTGGTTCACTGGAAGACCTTCTGAGGTGAGGCAGCTACTCACTGCCACGCTAACGCGCGCCTTGCCCCTGCAAGGTGGCATTGTGGCGGGGTGGCTGGTGTATGTATGGAGAAGAGTGCAGTGGCGGAATGCCTGGCACGTTCCACTGCCGCTTGTTACGATTCCTATTCTTGTTGGCGTTTTTGGTTGTCTTTGGTTTTGCCTCACTAGTCGTCTTGTCCCATTCGTGACGAGGTCATCCTTCTCATTTCCTCTGGAGGGTCTTGTCAAAGCAGTAAATGGCGATGCAGTGGGCAGCATTCTCTCGATGGTTTCAATACTTCAGCAGGAGCTACTTAGCATCTTTACCTGGCGTTCGCTGGCTGGGCCATCGTCTGAGCATTGGCTGATGCACCAAGCGTGGTGCGCCGCCTTATCTCTCTCTATTTCCTACGCCCTGGGCCTGCTGTTGTCCTCGGTTTGTTGCGTGTTTGGGGGTGTCTTCTGGCTGCTCCCCACGCACCCAACGACGTGGGGGTTGTGCTTCATTTCTTGTCTCGTGGGGGTCTACGCGTTACTGCAGAATGACGGCAGCAAAATGGGGCATGTTTTGGGTCTTCTCGCACTCGCATGCATGCTTCTTCGCAATGGCTTTGTGCTGACTTATTGACGCGATGAGGGTCACTGCTGAGGTCACCCAAACACAAAAGAAAAAAAAAGATAAGTATAGAAAATAAGACGTAGTGAAGGAGAGGAGAAAATGTGAGGAATGATGATAACAGGGCTCTCGGCACGGGCGGGGAGAGAATGAGAAGTAATAATGGTTACACTGCTACCAGTTGTGATGAGGGTGAGAACAAAGGACGAGGCAGGGGCGTGCTGCTTCCCAGCCTTACTCTCCCCTGATTCATGCAACATGATTTCCTCTTCTCTCTATACATAGTGAAGGACCCCCGAAGAGTCGACATGCAACACGTCACGGAGAGGGAGGCCGCATTGCCGGTTGACGATGATGGGGCTGCGTATTTGTCATCTTTATGTGATGCGGTGTGTGTGTTTGGTGTTGACGACGCCCTGTCGTGTGAGGCAGAGGACGCAAATACCGGACTAACGGGATCGCAGAAGCAGCAGCAGCAGCTGCTGCTGCTGGAGGAGGAGGAGGAGGAAATGGGAGAGGAAGAAGACGCCGACAGCGAGGAAAAACCCCTCGAAGATGAGGATGAGGAATACGAAGAGGAATACCAGTCGGGCGAAGAGGATGAGGGGGAGCCGGAAGAAACGGCAGAGGAGGAGCCAGAGGAGGAGGATGAGTACGGCCTTGAGCTACCTAGTGACGAGGGCAAGGATCCCAAGCACAAGAAGGAGGTATTTTTCATCCAGGGCAGAAATTACCCCGTATCCGCCCTTGTAAAAAATGCGGGGTTGAGGACGGCGCAAAAGAAACTTCGTAGAAATCCCAAGACCACGCTGATGATGTGTTCACTGCTGAAGGCGCACAACGTCATGGAGTGCCGATTTCTACACTTGACCAACCGTGCCCTGTTGGTGGGAGACCGCTATGTGAGGATCAACATGTTGCTGGATAATCCGGCAAGAGTTGCCGTCCTTAAAGACCCCGTCTCGGCGGCGGAGGCGAGTTTTTGCGCTGCTGCCAACGGTGGACATGACACCTCCGTGTGCTCTGCGTTGCACCTTTTGCCAGGCGTCGTTTTTGTGGGTGACCCACGGCTGCGTGTCGGCTATTTTGAGAACGAGCTTCACGACAACGTTGCGCTAAAGCGGTTGAAGGCTGATGCAGATTCATGTGGTCGTTGGTGTAGGAGTAAGCGGTCTCATGTTGTTGTGACGTGCGCCTCTCTGCATTACAACCGAGGGAAGGTGTACACGGAGGTGCCGCGGGAACCAGCGAAGCCCCTTGCAGTGATACCGAGCCTGCGTCCACAGGCACCAAGGCCTGCTGGTGGGAGAGGCGGCCACAGATGCCCGTCACGAGGCAGAGGCGGGGGTGGACGTGGACGTGGACGTGGCGGAGGCGGTGGTGGGAGAGGGCGTGGAGCCAGCCATAGCAGAGGTCAATATAGCGCTGTTGGACGTGCTCCGCGTCCGGGATTGCATGCGACTTCGGCGACACCCGCCTTAGCTGATAGGACGGATCGTGACAGCAGAATGGTGCTGCCGATGGACACTGTGACCCCGCTGCAGGAGGAAAAGGTTCAGGTACAGAAGGAGCGAGTGCTGAACCTTATACTGGCGTTGTTGGTGTTTATTGTGGCCCTGCTGGCCTATTTGCTTAATTAAGGAGGAACCACAGCTCTTCCACGTGGGTCTCTGCATTCTGTTAATATATTGATAAAGGCGAGGATTCAATGCTACTAAAGGCAGGGAGGAGGCGAGAAGTAGCAAAGCGGAGAGAGAGAGAGAGAGAGAGAGAGAGAGAGAGAGAGAGAGAGAGAGAGAGAGAGAGAGAGAGAGAGAGAGAGAGAGAGAGAGAGAG